AATAATTAAATAAATTAATATGTTACAAAATAATAATAACTTTAATGTAAGGTTTGTACATCATATATTCCAGAGTAAAGCCTTGCAGATTTAAAAACTCGTTTGGACTTTGTTTAAATGATATAGTTGTGGTCTAGACAATAAATAATAATTTAATCACTACTATTTTGTTTTGGTCATCACTTAACATTGAACTCTTCCAATTGAATTATTTTATTTTTATTAAAACAAAAGCAAGCTTTTAAATACTAAATGTTATTTAATAATAACTATTTTTAAAACATTAAATATTAAAACATATATATTTAAAAAGTATAGAAAGTTAACCTTTTTTCCAGTGTTCGTACAATAAAACTATCGATAAGCTATCGTTACCTGTTATCACAAAAAAGTGTGGCCAAATACAACACGGTATACTGTCAATTTGTTACTACTATTTCATTGTTCAAAAATTATATCACCACCTTCTAATCTGTTTGTAAATTGTATGTCTTTAAAAATTGTGTAATTCGCACAACAAGTTATTGACTCGCTTTTAAGGATTTATAAGAATGCCATCTCGGTGTAATTTTTAGTATCTTCCTCACGCAAACAGTTTGCCATTTTTTGGCGTTCCCGGTGCGTCCACACTGACCTCCTTAAGGTTATCGGCATAACAATTTTTGTAAATTCTCGACTTTGCCGTCTTTCGACTCATTTTTATTTGTCCAAATTTTAACCGCCGCGCACACCCACGCCCATTGCCACCCGCTGGACTAGGATCAGGATCATCAACACCGCGGCGAGTCACAAGAAAGGATACAATAAAATGCTGCGCTCTCTTGCAACAACACGAAACGAAATCGGGGCCCTTCGCTCGGTGCTCCTGCGATCGAATAATAACGCCACCTATATCCGCCGATCCGCCGGAAATTTGGGAGTGCGCGCCCTCAGCAGCCAGCTGATCAATGCCCGGAATCTCCAGAATATTAGGTAAAATCCCCAGCAAAACAAATCTCTCTTTGCGCTGCGTTTCGTTGAGGTTAGAAATGGTTGTGTAATATTGCAAAATGCGTACGAGCTGCACTGCGACAAGATTCGGTAGTGGTGGCGAAGGAGGCGGATGATTGACAGAGCCGTGTCCCAAGTATTTAGCATCAATCAGAACATATATATATATGTATATGTTATGTGTATATGTTTGCATGCATAGTGCGTGCTCAGTGCTGATTTGTTTTATGGTCAAGGTCGTATTCACGCTTCCATATATCGCATGATGCGTGATAGTAGTGCCTTCAGCTGATTTCTGTTTCTGTTTCGGCCTCGCCTGATAAGCTGGAAAGTTTTCGTCTTTACGCGAAATTACCAAATTGGTCATTTGTTTACATCGTGTGCGTGTGAGTGATTGAACACTGAATAAGTGCAGGTGTGTGTGGGTAAACAACAACAAACGATCAGCTGACGATGGCGGCCATAAATTAACCCAACGCAATTGTTTAAACTCTTGACTAAAATTATTTTGGGTCAAGTAGGATTAGGTGGCTTTTATATTAAAAAATGTAGCTGGATCAATGGCTTTCATTCATTAAGTAATGTTTATTGATTAGTTCCTTATAGCACTTACCAATATAATTATATTTTGTGTGTCTTGAATGGAAATTAATCTGAGCAAAGTCACCCTAAAGCTTAAGTCTCTATGGTTTCTCCCTGTTATTTACCTTCTGTATATTGGTTGATATATGTTATTACTTATATTTATTAAAGGAACTAATAAAATTCTTCATTGCAATAAATAAAACTCGATTTCTCTTATATTAATAGGTCCAAATTGGCCAACAGTCAGCCGCAAAGCTTGACCGGATGGAGCTGCAACTTCGCCCGTGCCTATGCCAGTCTGCCCGAACACATGAGGGTGCCGCTGCCCGCCCTTTCGCCCACCATGGAGCGCGGTTCAATTGTCAGCTGGGAGAAGAAGGAGGGAGACAAACTCAACGAAGGTGGGTAGGCCAAAAAGCTACTACACACCCCAAAAATCCAAGTTTATTATAAAAATATCCACAATTTCAGGTGATCTGTTGTGCGAGATTGAGACGGACAAGGCAACCATGGGCTTTGAGACCCCCGAGGAGGGTTATCTGGCCAAGATTCTCATTCAGGGCGGCACCAAGGATGTGCCCGTCGGTCAGCTGCTGTGCATCATTGTACCGGATCAAGAGAGCGTAGCCGCTTTTAAGGATTTCAAGGATGATGGCGCAGCGGCCGCTGCACCTGCCGCTGCTCCAGCCCCAGCTGCAGCTCCGGCAGCAGCCGCACCAGCACCACCACCGCCTGCTCCTGCCCCGGTTTCAGCTCCAGCTGCACCTCCAGCACCAGCTGCTGCTGCTCCAGATGCAGCAGGTACGCAGGGCCGCGTCTATGCCAGTCCGATGGCCAAGCGACTAGCCGAGGCACAACAGCTGCGACTACAAGGTTGTTCAATCCTAACTAATGCCATGTCTCCTTGCATTCCATTCCATTCCATTTCCTTGCATTTCGATGTGCGTGCAATTCGCTTGACTAAAAATCAATTACCTTTTATAGCAAGTCCCGAAATTCAATTTTCCCTTTAATGAAAAGCATCAACCATTACATTTCTAGCCCTTTTTACCCCACCTTGTCCAATTGTTCTGTTACTAATCCGCGGCTTTTGTGTGCGCAGGCAAAGGCAGTGGAGTCCATGGCTCAATTAAATCTGGTGATCTTGCAGGCCAGCAAGCGGCGGCCAAGCCATCCGCCGCCGCACCAGCCAAGGCAGCAAAGGCAGCCGGTGCCCGTTTCCAGGACATCCCGGTGACCAATATGCGAGCGGTGATTGCTAAGCGTCTGTTGGAGTCCAAGACTCAGCTGCCTCACTACTATGTTACTGTGCAATGTCAAGTGGATAAGGTGAGTGGTCATGGAGGATTTTAATTTCATTATTCATATTATTACTGGTGAATCTAATCTCTCCAATCTATTCCTGCAGCTCCTCAAGTTCCGTGCCGCGATAAACAAGAAGCACGAAAAGTCGGGAGCCCGCGTTTCCGTCAATGACTTCATCATTAAGGCTGTGGCCATTGCAAGTCTGAAGGTGCCCGAGGCCAACTCCGCCTGGATGGACACTGTTATCCGGCAATACGATGATGTCGATGTATCTGTGGCTGTGTCCACGGACAAGGGTCTGATTACGCCAATTGTTTTCAATGCCGATCGCAAGGGTGTCCTGGAGATTTCCAAGGATGTCAAGGCGCTGGCAGCCAAGGCCCGCGACAACAAATTGCAGCCCCATGAATTCCAGGGTGGCACCATCTCGGTATCCAACCTGGGAATGTTCGGTAAGGAAGTTATAGTTATTTTATATTTATAAAATCGATTGTAATTATTTTATTTTATATTTTTATAGGTGTAAATCAGTTTGCTGCCGTTATCAATCCCCCGCAATCGTGCATCCTGGCCATTGGCACCACAACGAAACAGTTGGTTGCGGATCCTGACAGCCTCAAGGGGTAAGATTTCTACAATATAATATTTCTTGTAAAGTATTTTCACTTAAAACCTATAGTATTATATTTAAAAACTTATACTTAACTTTATCTATATTTCCCTTTGCAGTTTCAAGGAAGTTAATATGCTGACCGTCACCCTGAGTGCTGATCATCGTGTGGTGGATGGAGCTGTGGCTGCCAGGTGGCTGCAACATTTCCGCGACTACATTGAGGACCCTGCCAATATGATATTGTAAATCAAACCCACCCGGCACGAACCTTCACATTTAGAGAGAGACTCCAACGAAAAGAATTAGAAAGAAATCGGAAATCACATTTTAGCGGCTTTCTCTAAGCGAGTCGGACATAAAATTAATTGGATGTGCGTGGATTCTAATCGGTGTTATCTATATATATTCGTTATATATGTAAAATTGTAAACATTGGCACTCATCCCGTAGGCACTTACATATATACATATACTTGTAGAAATTAAATTGTGTAATATTTGATGTAGTTAATGAATGATATTCGAATGAACTCACACTCAAAGAGCTGTAAATTTCCGATTGGTATGCTGCTACATCAACCGATATACATCCAGATAATATTATAATGTATGCTTTGTTCGCATCTGTTGATCATGATCGAGTACGAGAAGAAAGAGAAAAGTAGTTGAAAGTCCAAAGACGCGTTGAATAAACCTAAAAAAACACTCACATGAAACTAGCCAATTCATAAAAGAAATAATTACTGCTGTTTTATTTGTAAATTAAAAGGGTTAAATTTATTATTGATTGTAAGTATATATTTGTTTTATTTTAAAAAACGTATTGTGTATTGTTCAAATTGCTGAATGGAAAACTTGGATAGGAGTAAATTGTTCTACTTAATTGTTAGTGGCAGTGTTTACGATTTATTCAAAAACAAAAGTACTTTATATATAAGAAAAGATTGTTTCTCAATTCGGTTTTATTCTATTCCTCTTTTATTTTACGTGTAAAGTGAAAGTTTATCCCTCTCTGTACGGCCTTTACTTTGCGAAAAGATCTTTTGCTTGTGGGAGTGTCTCACTCTCTCTCTCTTCTGCGCTTTGCCTTCTATGTACAAGCAATATCGAACGAAAAAGTTTCTTTATAGCTCCACTCTGAGGTAGTTTAAGCATTTCTTCTCTCCGAGAACCTCTCAAAAAACCTGTCTTTGATTTTTAAGTTTCTTAAGTTTTTTTCCTGTGATCTTAAGATCTTTATAAGGTTTGAGTTGATTGAAAGAGGTTATGTCAATACCAATCAGCAGGCTTAATTAAACAGGTGTAATTTGTTGACTTATCACTTAAGCCAAGTTGCGACTGAAAGCTATGACTGATTAATGTGATTTTAGATCTTTTACTAATCAACTTGAATTAAAAAAACAAACTCAGCTATAAAACTATTCAATTCTTTGGAATTCCTCATAAAAATTGCAGAAATATTTATATTTTTCTAAAAATTCAAAAACCAATTATTTCTTGTTCTTTGGTTTATAGAATTATGAAACTAGTTTATTGCCAAAAATGTTACAAACTAAGCAAACACAAGTTGCAAGTATTTACAAGCATAAAGTTAAGCTAATGTCAGTTGGATGTGGATTGGTCTAGACACTAGATCTATTACCACTGGGCAGGACCCAGTTGGCTCCACTCAGCCACATAGTCGGCCTGCTTCTCCAGGGCGCCGATCCACTCGGTGCCGCCATAATTGATGGCGGGCAGGGTGCCCTTGTAGTTGGCGGGCAGGACGGAGGGATCGAGGAACTTGTGCAGCGACTTCATATCGCTACCATGGAAGTGCATCTGAAATAGTATGATTTTTAATTAATATTATATTTTATAAATACAACTTAAGCTTTTAGTACTCACCCTCTTGTTGAGCTTCTCCTTGACGAAGGGCTTGAAGAGCGACCAGACCATGTTGAAGATGAATGGCTGCTTCACAAAGTGCACCTCCTTCATGCGCAGGGGCATGGCCTCCTGGATGAAGGTGAGCAGACGCTTGGAGAAGCTCGGCGACAGGGCCTTGACCTGCTTCATGGCCAGACCATCAAAGTCCATGACGCAGACAACACCACGAACTTGGGTCTCCTCCTCCCGTTGGGCAGCAATGTGGACCATGTACAGCATGCGGAACATGTCATCGCTGGTGATCTCGCTGGGATCCCACAGCTTGCCGCAGTTAACAATAAGGACACGACGACCCTTCTGATCGCAATTCTTCAGGACATTGATGACACTCCCCTTGACGAATTTCTCCTTGACCTGCTCCACCAATAGACCTCGCACCAAGGCGGCATACTCCTTTCGGAAGGTGGCAGTGGTTTTCATCTGTAAGGGATTTATTTTCAATTATTTAAGGATCTTTAAAAGGGGAGGGAAGCTAAGGTAATAATCATAAACTTGCATAACTATCATATAAAACCTCTCCTCATAGGTGACGCATTTTCCTTGCGGAAGTTCACATCTTTCGGCAGGTGCAAACATTATTAGATTACAAATCCATAAATGATAAGGTATTTGACCATTGACCACATCCATAAACTATAACCATATAAGTTATGCGGCTTCCTATGATGATAAATACAAAATGGCGAACAAATTCATTCAATTTATGGCCTGATTCAGTTCAGTCATCCGACAGAGAATTGTACATTGTACATGCATATAGTGGAATCCGATCGAAATCGGATCGAAATAACGCTTATCGGGGGTCTTCTCTGCCTGGTCAGCGAGTTCAAAAGCAAAAAGTTATCAGCAGTCGGTCTAGAGTTGTTGCTTTTCCTTTCAGAATGATCGTATGTTCTGTATTTTTTCGTTTATAATATCCCATATATCATCTTACCGAGACTAGGAATGAGGTGGCTATATTCGATGGAGTGTCATAAACCCAAGATTATTAGTTTATTACATTAAATGGAAGGTCATATGTGGGGGAAATCGAATTCATACAATTCTTAGCTTAGAAAAAAATAAAGTATATATTTTTATATATGTTTGTTCTGTACTTTAAACTAATTTCTTTATATTATAAACTAATACCTTTTCAGTACTATTTTTATGAGTTTTTGTAAATTAATATTTTATCTAAGATTATTTATTTCTTCATTTAATGTATAACATCTTTCTGTACTTCATTTTCCTCTAATTTTATTTTCCCCATGCACTTGTTTGAACTTAGGTTATAGACCTCATTTCAATACTATTCAAATGTCTTATGTTTGTGGATTGATAACAAAAATCGAGACGTTTTAAACATATAATAATCTCGTTGAAGTCATCACGACTGCCGGCTTATCAATTGAAGTCATTGGATCTTGTTTCTAAGGCGGGTTGGTCTATATGTGTGTATATATATTATTATTCAGAGCATTTCGATTAGGGTGCGGGATGAACTCTTGTGGAATGTAAGTGAAACAAAGATTTGATTGTACTAAAGGAACATAGTGAACATGAACGAATATTTTGATTAAAACTCAGCAATAACTAAAATGTTGACCAATAAAATATTAATGAAATTTAAAAGGCCTTTGAATAATTAGTATAAAACTTAATGGTTCAGTCTAGAAGTGAATTATTAATATTTTTATAGATCATTTCGTTGTTATATTTTTAATTCGGGTTCTATATTTATTATTTGTGAGAAAGCAAAATTTTTTTGTTCATAACTAACTCAACTCACTTGAAAACGATTTTATTTTATTTTAAGTGCAGACATATAACTATTTTGGTTCATATAAAAATATATTTAATATTTTCAAACTGTTTAAAAATAAAATGCTACAACTTTCCTTGTGAAAAGATTACAAATCATTCCTTCCGGAAAGATTATAAATCATTATTCTCTATGCAGGAACATGAACAAAATTGAAGTGTTAAAACATTTTCATCAACAGAAAATAGAATATTAAAACCACAACATGAGAATCAATAATTTCTTCAAGAATTAATATAGTTTTTAAAATGTTATTAATAATGAAATATTATTTTTAATAATTTCCATTATTCTTGCTTGATATTTTTTGTGTTTTTTTTTAAGAAGGCTATAACTCTTAGAAAAAAATATTTTTTATTACAAAAATATGACAGTTTTGTAATAAAAAAGACTTTAACTCAAACCTGAACTAAGCTCTACCACAAATTATATTCACTATGTTTTATTAGCTAATTTTTAAACTATGAAACTATATAAAGAAAACTAGTATTCTTCCTTTGATATAATTTCTTCACAAAAAATTGAAAAACTCTTTTTTCCAGGACACTTTTTAGATACGAACCTTTTCCAGGGCACCATCCGGATACCAATGGCAGGCACGCAGGAAGACTGTGAGGAAGGCATCGTCATCCTTATAGTTGAGCTCTGGGGTGGCCTTAAGGAGTTCCCTCAGCTTCTTGATGGCCTCCACCTTGACCTCCTCCGTTTCCCGGAGCTCCACTCGGGCAATTTCCAAAGTCTCGGGCTTCAGGTAGCCCAGACGCAGTTGAAGGCCTCCTCGCTGATATCGACAGTTGCCATTTTGATTTATATATATTATATATGGACCTGCGTGTTTTGGAATGGCGAGAAATGCGTTTTTTTGTTAGTTTTTTCCTGATCACACTGATTGCTAACCGAAAATTGCAGCAAGCACTTTTGAGTTGATTCGTTTTTACGAGATCAATTTCCCATAATTTAGTTCTATGGGTGAGTTAGCACTCGGTACTATTTGTTTTCTTAATTTTACCTAAGGCGAAGTCTAACGATATAGTCACTGTCTCGAAAAGGTTTTCTTCGGTTGTTATTTTTTTGCTTCCTCGCGACTCGTGCGATTCGAGTCAACTGAATTTCGGTTTGCATTTGGAAACCCTTGTGAGTTAACTTCTATATTATATATCGACAACGGCGCTGAGGCGTTGGCGATAAAAGCAGCGACGCTGGCTGAGGCGATCGCAGTCCGTCTTGACTTGACTTCCACTTCCATTTCCATTTTCCATTCCTCCTTATCTTTTAGACTAATGGCGATGAGCTTCACAATACACACACACAGAAGCAGGGCAGAGCAACTAAAAACAAAAACAAATAAAAAATAAAACCCAAAAATACTCGTCAAAAAAAGGTCACAATTGCGACTGTCAATCACCTTACGCCTTTAACCCTCGGGCATCTCCATTGAACCCTCCTTTACTAGGCCTCAAAACTCTGACTTTCGACTCAGTTCCAAGTTTTTTTTGTTGGGTTTATTTCGTCATTGATCGTGGATGCTTGGGAATCTTGAACCCTAGATCATCTCAGCCTTACCTTTAGCCTTACCTGTAGTTGAGCAGTAGCTCATATTAAGGCTATATCTCCATCACGTAATGAAAAAGACAAAATATAAATATCAATTAACGCGAAAAAAAGGTTAAAGCCAGCCTATTGACAGCGGAAACAGCGTAATGTTTATGAAGCCACTCATAATGCCAATAAAGCATTAAGGTAAGGCTAGAAGGGACGATCTTAAAGTACCCTGTAAATGTTTTGTGTATGTATTTTAAGATATGTCATTAATATAGGAACCATTGATGTAAATAAAGAAACTAGCAATCAGTAATGTATATATCAGAAAAGTTTAAACAAAAGTGTTTAAATTCGAATATTAAATTAAATTTTTCTTGTAAGAAAAAATTAAATTAAATATTGAAAAATAAATATAAGTAAAATATATTAAAGTGATTAAGTTTTGTAATTTTTTTGTTTCTAATTTTAAAGTATTATTTTCTTAAACAATAGTAAGACATTTAATAAATTAGTTTTTTATTATTATTTATTGAGCTTTATTTCCTAAGCATTCAGTTTTATTAAAGCTTATTTAAAAAGAGTTTGGTTTTTACAGATTTGATCAGAATATTTCTATTGAAATATTTGTACTCAAATACCTAGTACATTTTAAATTTGATTATTATTTTCAAAATGTAATTAAAAATAACATAATTTGACATTTAACTAATAATTACTCATAATTTTATAATCAATTTCTTTAATAATGTATCACTCTCTCTTTATAAAAACCCATAGACTTTCCAATCCACAACTTCTTACAGGGTATTGAAACTACTCTGGAGTAAAGTCCAACATGGCATTCTTGGGTGATAACAGCTCCCAAAAAAAAAAAATATTGTACTCCTCTATGGTCTATTATCGAATGTTTATGTTGTGTTGGAATTCTAATCGCAGCTCATAATCCTTATCAGCAGCAGCGCAGTCGCGAGTTTTATTTTCTTCTATTATAATATATATTTTTTGTTTTTGTTTTGTCGTTCCTTTAACAATCAGTGGCAGAGTCGCTGACTGCGACTTGTTTTGTTATTGTTTTCATTGAACGATCAAATAATGGGTGGGGGTGAAAGAGGGGGCAATGGATCCTCGGGTTTTTATCACACCTTTCGGGGCATTGATTCCGATCGTGATCCGTCGATCGTAGCCCGTTATCATTGTTAACCGCTTTTGTTGCTGCATTTCATATTGTTATTATTGGGACGTGATCGGTTCTTTGTTTTGAAATTCATGTTTCCAACAAACACACACAAAAATCACTTTGTTACCGCCATTTGCTAATATCGACTTATACGTGTACATATTCGAATACAGTGAGCACTTTTTAGGGGGAAAATATAATAGAACAAATATAAATAAAAAATTAAAAAAATATAAATAAAAAATCAAAAAATTAATAATATTAAATATTTAAAAATATATCTTTGCCTTGACAATAAATTTAGGGGTAATTTCTAAAAAGCTATACCAATAAAAACATGTATTGTTAGTATATAATATTATAAAAATTATATATAATTTTCTTAAAGAAAGAAGCTTGTTTTTATTAACCAATTTATTATTTTATTAAATAATTACTTATACAATTATTTTAAAATATATATCGTAATTAATGTACATTTCTCGTACTCACACCTAAAAATTAGTATATTATTTCCATGGTTTGGAATGCTTATTAGGAATAAATACAATGTTATATTGATAATACATCAAACATGTTTATATTACTTACCAGGTTCTAAATTTAAAATTTAAAAAAATAAATAAGTAAATGTCAAAATATTATGTAAATATTATATGTAATATAGCACAACCTCACCTTAAAGCCTTTTGACATATTTATTTGATTTATACTCCATTCCCTCACAGCTTAAAAGTGTAATTTTGTAATATTTTAAGTTAAAAATATTAATTAGTGATTTGTTCATGCTTTCGACTTAGTTCTGTATTTAAAACTGCGAATTACTGTTTTGCACAACTGCTATAGAAGTGTAGTCATAGGGCAAAGTCTTCATTCTTGAGACGATTCGTTTTTTGTTGTCGAGGCTCCACCACCACCTACTTTTGTTGATGTTTCTGTTATTGTTGTTTCTTTTAATTCGATTTTACTCAAGTATTTAACTTGTTCTTTGTTGCTATTGTTATTGTTTTTTTTACACTTATTTGTTGCTAAGTTGTTTGTTGATTCGTTTGCCAATTGGTGCTGCATCAGCTGGTTTATCGAGCTTCTGTTTTCATTCAGTTGGTGAGGGGATTTTAAAAATGTTATTGCGGAGATAGCATTCTCTTATAGAGATAATTTGTTTACCGATAACTGAGGAGGGGGAGTGTACACTATACAGGTTATTTTTTGCATTATATTTGTACAGTGAAAATATGCTAAATATGTGATAAACAAATTTAGGGAATGTCAAGCTAAAGGGGTGTGATGAAAATATTACAAGAGTTATATATTCTGTTTATATAAAACTGTAAAATTCTGAATGAAATTTAATAAATTAAAATTTGAAAACTATAAAGATTTTATAAGCAAAAAATCAAGAATTTATTGCCCCTATAAATGCCCACAAAAAATCATTCAAATCAACTTGAAATATCATGACATAAACTCATGATTTAAATCCATAAGAATCAGTGTTAGGCGAGCAATATCTAGGCTATATATAACACTGTTTTAACTTATCGCAAAAAAAAAACTTATACACAGTTTAAAACGTGTACCATAGACATTCTAACCGGCTTATGACAAAACCCATGGTCTAAATATACTTATATATAACCCCCTTAAGGCTAATCGCAAGATTGGCAAAGTATACACATCACATTGAGTTTTCATGTTCATGGCTTCCGTTGATAATTCGAAAATCCCCAGCAGAGAAGTTTATACTTTTATTCCTATTTCTAATGGCATTTTCCATAGCTCCTAGGCGATAAGAATCATATCGAAATGTTTTCAATTTAGATAAAGAAATAGTGTAGTCGTCATGGCGATCTTTGGACATCTGTTGCAGCTGAGAACTTTGTCAGGTGAGTGAGTAAGTGTAACCCGATATATTGAATTGATTAAGAGCAGCACCTGCACAAAGTGCACATATATAGAGTATAAAATATATATAATATAATGTATAGTAATCAATCGATGTCTTACAGAAATCGAACAAAGTTTACCCACAGCTCTTGTCGAGCTGTTCCCGAGTTCGACTTTGATCCTTTCAGTAATCGCTGACGTCGAAAGTGCTTTGGGAAACAATGTGCAGCCAAGTCAATACAAGTGTGTCATCTGTGTGAAAATATTGGCTTTGTGAAAATATTAACTTGGGAAATCCAAAGCATGAATAATCCTCAGAAACGAGGAAAATATTTGTAAGTTTCGGGAAACAGCTAAGCTGAGCTGTCATGAACCCTCATATAATAAATTTTGGGTTTGGACTATAGACTAGGTTGAGCTTAACCTATCATAGTGCTGGAAGATTATATTATTTTTATAGCCTGTCAGGTGAGGTCAGTTACCGCCTAATTCTATTATTTTTTTTAGGTATATAATTTGAGGTAATAGACATTTAGTTTTAAGTATGCCTAAAAGGTTTTGATGGGTTTTTATATAGTTCCAGGGAAAATATGTTATTTACTAGTTAGAATCCACGTAAGATGGTTACAAATCTTATAGAAAAATACTATTTTATATTTTTAAACTAAATCTTTAACTTGGTTATTCTAAAAAGACATATTTTATGTGCAGTTATTATTAGAGTTTAAATAGGAAACACTAAACAAATAGCATTTTACAATGTTTTAATAAAAAATACCAATTCCAATGTTATTTAGTGTATATAAAAACAAAGGTTGCTAATTATTAATTGTGTAAATAAACAAAAAAAAAACTCTTTTTAGATTATATTAATAAGTTAGATACAAATACAAGTGGTTATATTTAATGAATAAAGAAATAAAACTGTTTATTATTGCGTATACGTAATAAATAAGGAAATTAATAAGTATTTACATTTGCTTAAAAAACTGTAGGTTAAATAATTAACAATAAAAATCGAAATTACTAAAGAGTATTTATTAAAATAAACAGCATTAAAACCTATTTTTTAGACTTAAACTTGAAATCACTAATAACATAATTTTATACATGGCGTATACTTAATATATGAAGATGAGAAACCATCTTTTATTTTTTATATATTTAAGTTTTTTTTAAATATATATCTACTTAAATAAATAAAATACTTATTTTAACAGTATTAAATGAAACCTCTTCCCTTACTTGATCAAAATCATGATTGATTTACTTGTCAATCTAACACTGCGTATACGTAATATTAGGTATTTCGTTTTCTTGGCTAATTTCCATTTAGCCTCCCCTTGTTTATATAATAATGTTAAGTAATTAATCAACAAGAGCTATTTGGCTTTCAATACGTGGTCATTATCTTTATAGCAGTTCGCATGTAGAAATTTATACGACTGCCATAATTTAGATAACTTGAATGGTGAAAAATGTTAAATTTATCAGGCAACACCAACAC